GAAGTCACTTGCGCCCAATCACACTGAAAATTGGTTACAGAGTCAGGAGTTGAGCCTCGGTCTATCTGGCTCCAAGAGCTCTGTGTGTGCACTTGTGCACACGTGGGCACCAATGCGAACAGAGTATACTCGTGTGCATGTTCACACAGGTGCACGTGTGTGTCAGAGTCTCTCAGGGCAAAGCTAATGGGCCTTGTTAGATTGCTGAGCTGGACTTTCGCCAACTGCCTCCTAACTAGCCTCTGGCCTCCACTCTTAGCCTGATCCAGAATATTCTCCAAGCAGCAGTCTGGGTGGTCCTGATAAAACACAGGTCAGGATGTGGCCTCCTCTACTCAAAGTCCTCCCAAGGACCCCCGTACCCCTCAGAGAGAAGTCCAAGTCCTGGAGTGGCTTTCCAGGACCCCTGGCCTATCCCACCATCCCTCCGCTCATCTCCACTCACCCCTCCCAGCTGTTCTGCAGCTGCGCAGGCCCTCACAGCTCCTCCCGCCTGCCCCAGGTCCTCGTACTGGCTGTTCCCTCGGCCTGGGACTTCCGTCCTCGGACATCCATGAGCCTCCCTCCCTCACCTCCCTCAATCCTTCCTCAAATGGCCTTTCTAAACATGACCTTCCATGATCTCCCTGCTTAAAACTGCAGTCTCTCTCATCTTTCCTTTTCTGGGCTCTTATAGCACACAGCACTTTGCAGTCACTACAGTGCTGATGGATTTACTTTGTTTATCGCCTGCCTTCCCTACTGGAGGGTTGGCTCCAGGGGGCACAACAGAGTTTGGTCTGACTGTTCACTGCTGCCTCCTCAGTGCCTGGCTGCACGGTGGATGTTCCATGTTTGTTGAATAATATGCAAATGATGAGAGAAATGGAACCTGTCTTCCCACCCACTGGGGGCTTGTGGGGAGGGGCCCGAGGGTGGTGGGGCTTTACAGTCACTTCTCAGAGACAGATGCCACCAAAGCCAGGCAGAGGGTGCAATTCCCCAGGTTTTTGGCAGTGACTGTCCTCACCCAGGTGGATGGGCAGGAAATCTCAGCATCAACAAAGTGCCAGAGATAAAAGCAGGTTCAAGAGAAGACACTGCGATAAGGCGAGTTTCAAGCAGTTCCTATGAATTTGTGGGGCAGGTGAGGGGGCGGGCAGGCGCCCTGCCAGGCAGCTGGAGCTGGCAAGGAGTCTTCTGCCTGGGTGAATGAAGAAGTGAAATGTGGTCTAGCTGTGTGGTGGAGAATTGTTCAGACTCACAAAAGAATGAGATTCTGACACAAGCTACAATGTGGATGAACCCTGTGGAAAGTGAAACGGCCCGCCGTGAAAGGCCACCTGTTGCGTGAGTGCACCTGTGGGAAACTCGACAGGCAGAAAGGACCATGCAGACAGCAGGATGGCGGAGCGTGGGGAGTGCCTGCCTAACGCCCCCGGGATCTCCTGTCGGGGCAATGAAAACATTCTGAAATTAGGTAGAGGTGGTAGATGCACAAGGTTATCAGTGAACCTAAAGCTGTTGAACTGTTCACTTTAAAATGGTTAATTTTACGGTAGGTGAATTTCACCTCAATCAATAGTAATGAACAAGGACAGAGAAACTGAAGGAAGAGCCGCCTTCGGGCCGCTCTGCAGCAGCCATGCAGCTCTTCTCAGACTGCCCCCCCCCCTTGCATCGCCCAGCGGGGGGCCGGGAGGACTCGAAGGCGCACAGGGACAAAGGCTGAAACGCTGGGTCCCAGGGCGAGCTGCGGCTTCTCTCTGCTCCACCCTCTGACTTCAGCGGGCGAGGAAGCCTCCTCCAGTGTTGACAGGTCTCTAACCCTGGCTAGTCTCACTTTCAACAGGGAGAGGGCGGGCCTCAGGCTCAGAGCCCACTTAAAATTTAATGACGTGGATTTGCTTTTATAGTATTTACTTTTATGGTATCTTTTCCTTCTAGAAAATATAGTGTGTTGAACGGTGACCCCCCACCCCCCCTTTAAAAAGACAGGTCCACATCCTAACCCTCAGTACCTGGGCACGTGATCTTATTTGGAAATAGGGTCACTGTGGATGCGGTGAAGTTGAGGATCTTGAAAGGAGACCATACTGGATCAGAGTGGGTCCTAAATCCAGGGCTGGTGCACTCCTAATTGAAAGGAGATTGGACACAGAGGTACTGCAAGGGGAAGACCATGGAAGAAAGGCAGGGATCGGAGTGCGCAGCTGCAAGCCAAGGAAAGCCGGGAACTGCCAGCAACCCCAGGAGCCAAGAGAGGCAGGGAACAGTCTTCCTAAGGGTCCCGGGCGGGGGGGCGGGAATTGGGAACCAACTCTGTCGACCCTGTGACCTCAGACCTCCAGTTCCCGGAACTGCGAGAGGATCCACCTCTGCTGCTGTAAGCCTCGCAGCTTGTGGGCACCCTCTGTGGCAGCCCTGGGAGACAGACGCGCGTGCGCTGCTGGTTTTCAGTTTCCAGAGGTAGAGTCTCCCTTCTAAGTGCAGTTGATCCTTGAGCAACGTGGGGTTTTAAAAAAATAAATGCCATAAATGTACAGGGTGGAGCAAAAGTCAGTTTACGGTTGTTCATATGGAAAATAATACAGTAACTAACAAGTAACTCACGAATAGACTGTTTCGCACACTCACAACTGGAATCCTACTTCTGCCCCATCCTGTATTTTCTCTTCCTTACGATTTTCTTAATACCATTTTCCCTATTTATTATACTATGGTATATAACACATACACACGTAAAATATGTGTCAATTGATTGTTTATGTTATCAGTCAACAGTAGGCTACTGGTAAAGTTTTGGGGGAGTCAAAAATTATACTTGGATTTTTGACCGCGTGGGGGATGGGTGCCCCTCACCCCGGGGTTGTTCAAGGGTCAGCCGTGCGCTGCATTTATAAGGGACGTCAAGAATCAAGAAAGTGACAGGCCAGGTGGTGGGGCGCGTGTGTTCAGGTGGGCACACGCCGCTGCCAGGGGGGAGATCGGGCTGAGCTGGGTGGCGGGTGGCTCGGGAGGAGGAGTGGTGGAGGCATCTGGGGGGGTTGTTGGTTCAAAGGTCGCTCAGGCAGTGGAGCCCTGCGGCCTGTGGTGTGCAGGGAGGCCCCACACTGCCCCATCCACACCCTTGAGTACATTTGCAGGAAAGCCCACATGTTCCCCCGTCAGTGATTCAGACCCACCTTCCTTTGGAGAAGAGCACTGTAGACAGGGAGGGTTTTTTCCCACCACCCTGAAGTGCCTGGGGGAGACGGGACAGGACGGGAAGGGAGTTTCCAGGAGACAGCCAGCAGAAAAGCGATCTTAGGACTCGAGGTCACTCAGAGGCAGGATGCTGCCACCCTCACCTGCCATCAGAGGCTGCACGGACAGGCTGGCTGGCAGCTCCACCAGGACAGAACCCCCAACTCTTGCTGGCCACAGGATATGCCCCGGGGAAACACGGGCCACTTCCAGCTGCAGGGAGGGCACTCATGCCTTATGGATGAAGAACAGGAGGCTGGAAGAGGTAAAGAGACTGGCTCAAGGCCACCAAAGGAGGCCGTCCTGGGTTCGAGCCTGAGCTCGGAAAGGGATGGGGGAAGCTGCTTCTGAGGCCCCAGGCCACTAGCCCTGAGCCAAACACACTGCCAACGTGACCCCTCCATCCAAACCACCGACCGGGCAGGCCTGTTCCTGTCCTTACTGTGTGGACAAGGAAACCCAAGCTCAGAGAGGCGACCTGGCCACAGCCACGCAGCTGTCAAGTGGCGGAGGCTGAGCACCTGCTGTATCCACACGGTGCAAAGCGCCGTCAGCCCGGCACCACCTCCGGGACTCACTGAGCAGGTTTGGGGCAGCTCGTAGTTCTGGTTGGTGAACAAGTGTTCCGAATGGTTCTGTCACCGATCCACGCCTGAGAACCGCTGCCTCAGCCCTTCCTCCCGTGACCAGCCCAGGGACACCTGGCCCAGCTGCACCTCGCCTCGGTACCTGTCTCCTCATAGCTGCTGTTCCTGGTCCTGCCGCCTCAAGGCCCACCTCCCACCTTTGCCAAGGTGCCCTTCCAGGAAGATCCTTTTTCTACACTGAAGTCATCATGATGCACGAGTGCCCACGCGCCTTCGAAGCGTGGCACTATGGGGATGAGCAGGGCTGCAGCCGGCCCTGACCCCGCGCTGGGCGCTGAGCAGGCCACAGGGCAGAGCAGGGTCCAGCCTCAGGTCGGGGACTCCCAGCACCTCTGAGGCCCTGGGCCTCATGAGCCAGCTTCGGAGAACTGGTCCGGATAAACCCGGGCCAGGAGGGGAAGGGAGCCCTGCTGGGGGCAAGTGGAAGACTGGCAATCCAGGGCAGCTGGCCCTCGGCAGCAGGCTCCACCTCCCGGTGGCACCACTTCAGGCTGTGGTGGGGAGGGCAGGTGGTGCGCCATTCACTTGGGACTCAATTTAGGTTTTACCTCAAGGCCCAAAGGGGCTGGCTGTTTCTGGCTCAGGAGCTGGAACGTCTGGAGTTGCTGTTAAGAACCCATTTCCAGGGAGTTCCAGAGCTCATGCTGGTGCGTGTTCAGTGTGTCCTTGAAGCAGCCCACCCCAGCACGAACGTCACTGATGCCTGGGCCCTTCCCCCTTCCCTCAGCTCAGCGGCACATCAAAGCCACAATGGGGAGGTACCCTGTGCCTGTAGGGGGTAGGGCTACTACCAGTGGCACCTTCCCACAGGTGCAGCACCGGAGGCTCAGGTGGAGAACCACCCGACTGACGGGTGAGGGACAAAGAGCATGGACCAAACCCACTGCACCTGGTGCGGGGCAGGGATACCCTCTGGACGGAACCTACTGCCCCTGAGTTTTCCCACCTCTGGGTAGGAACGGCCTCACCTCCCTTTTTGGAATTGGGGAATACCTGGCCAGGGTGGGGGCAGGGAGAGGCTGTCTACCCCTCTAGGAGGCTGTGACAAGCTGAGGGGTCAGACCACAGAGAACCTTCCCCTTTGCCTACCACGGCCTCTGTGCCACAGCACCACGAAGAGCAGCCACATTCTGGGAACTCTTTCTCTTTTATTGCCAAGTAACAATTTACAAGGAAGTTCCAGTTTTTGTTTCCACCCTGGTGTACAGTACCCATGAAGCATGAGTCACACCAGTAAGCAGGTTCTTCCCTGGAACGGTCCCTCAACCCAGAAGCGTGAGGTTTCCTAATGCTGCTCCTCCTCAAGACAAGAATTATTTACATATTTTCAGCTCAGAGGAACATTAGGAACAGGAACCCTTACAGTTTATGCCCAGTGTCAACATGACTACACGAAACATTTCTTATTGCATCTAAAAAAGATGAGAATCGATTCACCCCATGCTTTTTTTTTTTTTTAAACAGTGCATCTTGAGACCTTGGAGAAATCTTGTGTATGTCTGTGAGGGCGTGAGTTTCTTCACTCATGCCGGTCACTTGTAATGCCAGTGTTTAGGTGGGAAGCTGCCTTCTGCGGGGCAGGGCAGGCTTGATGGAGGGGAAGGGGGGTGGAGAGGCCCTCCCGTCCACCCCTCCCTGGGGAGTGCCAACCCTGTCCCCTGACGTGGCAAACCCAAGGGGCCCGGTGTTGACTTGGGGAGGGTGAGACCGACCCCAGCCCCTCCTTCTGTAGGGACATGGAGATGGGGGCTCTAAGGGTTGACGGAGGCTAAACCCCAGAGGTCCGAGTGTAAGGACCCGGGGGGTCAGAGGGCACCATCCCCTACCCTGAGGCAGGCTGTCTCCCCCGCCCGAGACCTTCCCTTTCAGTGCCCTGAGGCCACAAAGCCACCTAGAAGCGGACTTCAGACAGTGGGCGGTGGTCCTGGGGAGGGCCTGGGTCTGCCTGTGTGGGCTTGTTCCTCCCAGTGCTGCTGCTGGCCTGGGAAGTCACTGGCCTCTGCTCCTGCTGCCCCAGAGTCATTTGAAAACCAGACCGGGGGTTGGTGGGCACAGCTCCTGGAGGCTTCTGATGACAGAGACCTGCGCCCACAGGCATGACTGCCCCTCCTCTGCAGGATGTGTGTTTGCGTCAGGAGGTTGGAATCTGGCGTCAGCGGGCCCTGTTGTGACAGCTGGATTGAGGGAGGCGGTGAGGATGGCGTCCTCTGATAGGTGGAAGATGAGCATTCACAGCATCTTCTGAGGCTGCCCGGTAACTGGACCTGGCCGACACCAACAGCTGTGTGCTGATACCCCTGGTGGACACATGGAGGAAAGTTGTGGGAGGTCTTAGCATGGACCAGGAGGAAGGGAGGGTCGCTTGGCTGTGCCAAGTTGCAAGGAACGCTTTGGCTGCTTTACTGGATTCGGTGGAGAACTGGCCCCTCCCTGCACAACCAGACCAAAGGGAGAAGGGACCGGGCAGAGGGTTCATTTTAAAAACAAGCTCATGTCCTTTTTGTAGCCGCAGAGAGGAGGCGCACGGAGCTGAGCAGCAGGCGATGTAGAGGACGGCTTCCATGGCCTCTGCTTCCCATTGTAGCTGCTGGGACCAGGGTCCTCACGGTCCCCAACAATTCTCTTAGACCAACAAAGCTGGCAGCCACAGAAGGTGATGCTGAGAAACGGTCCTGTTTGCCTCCAGTCCAGAGAGATGCGGAATGGGCCCTGGCCCCCTTTCGTGAAAAGACCTTTCAGGTAAACCAGTGTAAGGCCCCTTGGCTGCCGCAGCAGAGAAACTTTCAGCTCTCTCCACTCTGTGTGTACCTGAGAATGCATGTATCTCCCTTATTTTCTTTAAAAAATACTCTAAACTTTCCAGGAAGGTACTTTATCATCCCACAGGCTTGCAGAGTCAGTGAGCAATAGAGAAATAAGAATCACTTAGGGAAAAAGAAAACACCAGACTGAGAACTCTAAACCTAAACACTGGAAAGTTCAAGGGAAAATGAAAATGAAATCTGAACAGCAATCTACACTTTTTACATGACATCAAACCTTAGCATTGAGGATTTTTTGGGACTTTGTCTTTTAAAAAATAGATGCTTTTTAAATAAATGCTTTTCACCTGCTGCCACAGCGGAAATAAATACCCAAAGAAGATGTTTATCAAAGTTCACTTTTCTACAAATTTCTACCTAAAGTGACCTTGTCCACTTCTTCCGTGCACACTGGGGACGCCACAGCAGAGCCGCGAGCCGGGGGAGCTCAGAGACCAGGAACCCAACCTCCTTCCCCAGGGGCCCCCGCTTTGCTGGGGTGTCTCCACCAGGTCCAGCTGTTCTCAGCGAAGTGCAAAGTGAAAGAGGAATTCAAATGGAATCCAGGAGCACACGGGTGGGTGGCGAAGATGGTCACTGCGGATGCTCCCAATGTGTCTTTGGAGTCGGTGGCACTGGGTCCCTACCCGCGGGGGCTGCAAGCACAAAGGGGAGGCTGCTCAGCCCCCACTTAGTGCTCGATGGGGCCTGCTGGCTCTGGGGGCGCAGCCTCCTCGTCTGGGGTCACTGTGCCCTCTGTGGCCAGTGTGGGGGCCGGGGGGATGCCCGCGAGGGTACGGAGGCTGTGGGGGTCAACAGGTGGGATGAGGGTCAGCGACTCTACGCTCAGTGTGTCGGCGGTGTCCTCACAGAGCAGGGAGATGGTGGGCTGCTGGGCTGGGGTGAGGCTGGGGGACAGGCTGACTGTCTCCATGTCCACACTCCTTGCCAGGCTCTTGCCGGGCCTGGTGTCTGCTTCCGCGTCACTGACGGTCACCACCTGGTCGGCAAGGTTAGGCTGAGGCTGTTCCATGGTCATGGGGTCATCTGGGTGGAGGGAAAACAAAGGGACACTTAGCTCTGAGGCATTCTGCTCCCGCTGGCACCCTCTGCTCCCATCCTGTACAAAGGCCCAGGGGAATCTGGGTGGGAGATGGTGGTGTGGACAAGCAGCTGGCTCCACCTCCTCCTTCTAGGGACACAGAAGCTGGTGAATCCAGTCTGACTGAGGCCTGGTGGAAAATCTGTCAGGGCCCAGGGGTTACCCTCACTTGTGATGCAAGGAAAAAACGAGGGGGTTGTGCAAAAATCAAATGGTGGGTTATGGAAGCCCCTTCCTGGGTGCCAGGGAGTGGCCCAGGTGGGCTGTGTGTTTGCACGGGTCCCGGACCACCTGCCTGATGGCAGACACGTGTTCAGCAAAGAAATGGGCTTGGGTGCGCTCATCACTTCATGCCATTTCCAGCATCTAACCTGGTGACATTTAGCCAAGAGGGGACTCACTGCAATATTTAAAAATTTTTTAAAAGGAAGTTTTATAGAAGTTTTTAACTTGCAGAACCAAACCCAAACCTCAGACGGGCTTGCCTCCTGTTCCTGCTCTGAGTGCTGAGTCAGCAGCACCCAGAAAGGGCTGCGGCCGCCTGGGGCCGCTCCTGCTCCCCGTGGAGAGGGGCTGTGCCCGGAGGAAGGTACGGGGGTGCGCCCGATAAAGTTATTCTCAGAGCGGCAATTTCTTTTTTGGGTGCTCTTCAAAATCCTTGATTAGATTACAGCCCAATGGCCTAACTTGCTTTCCAGTGACAAATTTGCCTGGGTGGAAACACCAGCTGTGCCGGGAGCGCACTGGAAAATCTCTCCTGGGGCATCGCATGCCTGTAACTAGACAGCATCGACAAGAAGACCATGGGCATCTCCTCGGGAAAGCAAATTCCACTGTAGAGACTGTGGGCTGACAGGCTGTCGGCCCGAGGTGCCGACGACACTGCCGAGCTACGAGTCTGAAAGTGCTCTGGGTCCTGGGGCTGGTGGCAGGCATTCTTCTGTCCAGTGTGATTCCAGCTAGTTTTTTATTTCTTGTAAGTTTGCCAAAAACAAAACAGAATTGCAAACTGAACACAGAGCAAAAAAAAAAAAAAAAAGAGCAAAATAAAACCATAGGGCACACAGAATGGGATAAAAGAGAGGACAGCAGCCCCATCGTGGGGAGAAAGTGCAAGCAACAGATCGAGTCCCCGGAAGTACGGGATGGCGTTTCTTCCCACAAGACATTCAGGCAAGATGAGCACTAAAAGGCCCCAGCTAATGTCTTCAGAAGGCCTTTTTATTTTATTTTTATTTTTTTTAAGTGAAATAAGGCCAGAGGAAACCACCGTGTGGGACTTTGGGCCTGTCCTCACTCCTGGAGGGTGGTAGCAGGGCACACCGTGGGCACCAGCGGAAAAAGTGATTCGAGCAGGGTGTGATCTGAGCCCAGAATGCTGAACACGCCACACGCGCTCTGGTTTCTCCGAATTTCTACGGCTTCGCTCCATTCAGTAAGAAAGCCTGCGGCGATGGGCTGATTTCAAGACCCAGGCTCAGGTTCCAACCCGGCGCAATCTGCCGGCATTCATCGGGGTGCACGGCTCCCTGAGAGGGGCTCACCTGCTCTGGGGGTCTCCACCTCGCTTCACATGAGCGTGAGCACGCCTGTGAACTTTGTATGTATGGAGACACATGTAAGTGCAGCTGCTGACAGGGCAGTTTAGAAATGACTAGTTCTCCAAATGGCACTTTTGTGCCATCTGGAGACAGAGCTGCAAAGCATTCCGTTTTTCTCAGAACTTCTGTGTGAGACTTGCCTCTTTGCTCATGTGCATTTGCATGCAGATATTCAAAAAAGCTGGCAAACCTCCTTCCCTGGTCCCTAATAAAGTTTTTCCTGATGAGAATAATCAAGGATATGGGAAAGTTGCCATGAGATGTATTAAAAACAAACAAACAAACAAATAATACCATATATACAAAACTGTTTTCTTTTTTAGGAAAAGAACCAAAACCAACAATTTTATTAAAGGGGACGGATTCCCACCCCTCCCCATAAAAATAGCCTCTATTTTTTTTTTAGAGAGAAAAAAATAACCTCCTCTTACCCATCACCCACCATATGGCCTTACTTTTAATTTATTTTTACTTTATTATTTTTAAACTAAGAACTGCTTCCTGAATGTGATCTTCACATTCATCCATTGGGGGAGGGTGGACTCTGCCAGGGGAAAATTACCCAGTGAGGACACATTTTCTGGCCAAGTACCGAGCTGCAAAGGTCACTGCAGCTGGTGTTTTCGAGGTCTAAGGCCACAGTTAAGGCTGCTCTAGGCAGTGAGGGGTTTGGAGAACATTCTGGCCTCCCTGCGAGGGGCAGGGGGACAACTGGAGCTGGAGCGGGAAATCCTGGAAGTCCAAGTCTGTGTGAGTGATGCCGGACCCCCCTGTGGCTCTGCCCCGCGAGGACCAGCGCGTCCCTGGCCGGCACCCTCAGCAGCTGATGTTTGGCTTTGGAGCAGGGGCTCGGCTGACCCTTGTCAAGTGAGTTCAATTTCCAGTGAATATTTGGGTTTGATGTGTTCAGTCTGGAATAGGTGGGCCTGAGTGGTGTGGGGAAGAAATGAACAGCACAGCACAACACAGCACAGCGAGTCAGAGGGCAAAGCTCAGAGGAACAGCTTTTAAACAAAAAAGAAGGCAGGGGGCTCCCGACCGGCGCTTGTGGCAGGGCACATGTAAGAAAGCCCAAGAAGCACCGAGGGTGAAGGCAGCCAAGATGGACCCAGCAGGTGCCCCGCGGCCGCCAGACCAACCTCGTTGCTATTTGGAGCACTCAGTGGAAGAAGGAGGATGACGGAGTTACCTTTGTTGGTGTGTCTGCAACTTTTGGCCTTGGAACATGACTGAATGTATCACTTAGCTTTGAGCAAGACCAGGAAAAAAAAGGAAAAAGAAAAAAAAAAAGATCTGACTGTTGCTTTTGCAAATTCTACCACCCAACCCTGTGGCCTAAACTGGGGGTCTCTGCGAGGGCTGGGCTAGGAAACCTGCCTTCAGCTCAGGGCCTGTGCTGCGCTTGACACTGGCCTGCTCGGGATGCAGAGAGAGCGACAGCGTTTCCAGGTTGCCTGGGGCTGGAAAGGGGCAAGAGCCAGGGGTTTTGATCCTCGGATGAGAGGAGGCCGCAGAGGGGTCGGGAGGACCAGTGTCAGGGGAAGCAGAGGGAACGCCCACTTGGAGGACGGCTCTCAGGTCACGGCCTGGTGTCTCGGGGCCCAGCCTGGCCTGGCCTGCCATGCAGAGCCTACTAGCTGCAGAAGTGCAGCGTGGCGCGGGGGCGTCGCGGGCCCGTGGAGGCTAAGGGAGGAGACCTGCCTGAATTGACTGTGCCAGAGTTGCCGTGACAGCTGCCGTTCGAAGCACTAAACCCAGTGGCCGCCGTGACTGTCGGCCTCCGACAGGCTGAACACTCGCCGGCGTCCTTTCCTGCCACTCCTGACTAGAGGGAAACACAGCGACAGGTCACAGAAAGCCTTTAACAACAGGACAGAGAAAGGTGACACAGGATGGGCGCAGCGCAGAGATGAACACTAAGCATCGATGAGAGTGCGAGGGGAGGGGGCGGTGCCCCAGCGGGAGCTGGGTCGGCTGGGGCGTGGGTGCAGCCCCCCACGCAGGTAAGAAGCCCCCAGCCAGCCCCCCCAGAACGAGGCACTGTGGGGGCAGCTGAAACCTGGCGGAGACAGTGGAGATTTGGTCCTGTTGGAAAGCAGAGAGTGGGGCCAGGGGTGACCTCTGGTCTCAGGGAGAAGCCTCAGGGACAGAACAACAAAACTGCCACCAGCTTCGGTGCGAACCAGCAGTTACGACGTAAACCCTGCAGCCCAGGGAGAGTTTGAGGAGGGAAGGCTGTGTGGTTGTGGGATCGGAGCCAAACCAACTGGTGAAATAAGCAGATTTCTGACCCAAATGATGAGGGCGATGGTTCCCGGTGCCACCCCCCTAAAGCCAACAGCGCGGCTCTGCCAGTGCTGGGAAGGCCTCGGGGGCGGGGCACTCGGAGACCCCCTCCCCGGCCACGGGGTGGCCCTCGCCAGGCCGCGCTCGGGTGAACTGGGCCTTGGAGAACCAAGACTGAACCGTGGCGGGAAGACCTGGGACCCGGCGCCACGCCGCCCGGGGGTGGGCTCTAACTGGCTGAAACAAACGTGTCAGGAGCATCTCCTTGAGAAGGAAGGAGCCACCATCTCTGAGACAGAGTCAGAATTACAGCAAAGCTTAAAATTAAGGCCGCAGAACACAAGGTGAAGGCAACTAATGCCGCTGAAGTATAAGCTTAAAAATGGTTAAAATGGTACATTTTATGTTATCTGTATCTTACTCCAATTTTTAAAAAATGCTGTGGAGAAAACTGGGGAGAAAAGACAATACCTCTTACTTGGGTTTCTGTCCTTGAAAATCCTGCCGGACTCTAGTTACTGAGTTCAGGGACACCAAGGTCAGTTTGGGGCTGTGTGGCTCTAAGTTGGCCCGAATGTGACGGTGTCATGCAGTGACGGTCACACATTCAGACAGGCAGCTCAGGGAGCAGGTGAGGAACCAGGAGAGAGGGCCAGCCGAGCAGTGTCCTGCCCCAGCGGGCTCCAGGCAGGAACCCAGTCTTTCTTCTTTCTGTAAGCCCCGGGGAAGAAAGTGGCCACAGCTCCTAATTCTATGTGCCTACGAAATGGGCATCAGAAAAAGCAGGTCGCCCTTCCCTCTGACTTCATTTCTTTAATAAACAATTTTCCTTCCTCCTGGAAGTAGTTCCCTGAGGACACGCACGAAATGCAACCATCTGGAGACAGGAGGCACGAGTGGCCGGTTAAGGATGCAATAATGCAGGCCACAGAGATCTTTTCTGAGATGATTTTCTTACCAGAATCCCTATGTAGAGCATGAGTGTGTGTTGCGTATGTGTGTGCAATTGTGTGTGGAAGCATGTGTGAGCACGCATTTGTGTGTTTGTATGTGCATCTATTGTCATGTGTGCACACACATAACTTAGAAAATGTTTCTGAAGAATTCTTACTGATCCTACATTTGGTTCCAAAGCTGGAGCTGTTTTCTCTTTCCCACCATATGTTCTCTGCAATTTCAGCTTCTCAAAACAATAAACTGTTTAAGGAAAAAATATGCTGATGCCCACACTGTAATTTTCTCACTACGGGCAAGCTGAGGCCCACCAGGACAGCCCTGCTGGGTGAGCATAAGGGGCCAGTTCCTGGATGCTTCCCAGTGCAGGACGCCCAGCTCTCCCCAGAAGGACTTGAAGACCTCAAAGCACGTTGGGAAAGGACACTGGGAACAAGTCAACTCGTGTATCGGGTGTTGAGACCGGACAGTAAAGTCCCCTCCGCACACCATTAACAGGTAAATAGTTAAAGATGAAAATAAAATCCCTCGCTCCCAACTCTTTATGGTTGTTTACTTTGGTTTCCGGAGAATTTGGTTCGACCGTTCCTCCTGTTGGGGGCATCCGCTGGCCCTGGTTTGAGGGTCAGCACCTGCCTGTGAGGGAAGAGCCCCTCACAGGCATCCATGGCCTGTCTCTGGAGTGTCAAAGAGCATCCGAAGCAGGTGCTCCCAGCACAGAGGCCCTCTCTGCTCTCTGAGCACCTGGCGAACCGGTGGCCCCTCTGGGTGGGCTCCTTTCCCCTCCCTGGGAGGGGCCCTCTGCCAGTGCTCGGCCGTAGGCTTTGGCCCTGGTGGCCATGGGGACTGTTTTTCAGAAACAGGCCACCCTGATCTGTATATTTGGAAGGGCAGAATTTACAGACAGACCCCAGGGAGATGGGGAAAGGGAATCAGCCTATCTCCTGCTGGATTCCAGGCTCCTTTTGGGAGTGACCCAAAGGCCACCTTCCTCACGGAGCCCTGGTCTGGTCAGCCTCTCGTCCTTTGGCTTCCATTCCCATGACGCCTCTGCTGGGAGCTGCGGGCCCTGCTGCTTTCCTGGGTTGTAGTTTCTAACTGGACACTTCTCTGTGTGGTCACCTGATGGACTACACAGACTCCTCTGCTAGTCTGTGCCACCCTGTATCCTAGTGGCTGCGAATCACAGGGGCTCGACAAAATCTGTTTGTTTAGAAGAAGTTGATACAGTGTAGGTGGGGTACCAAGACTGAGGCAGAGGAGATGCGGAGAGATGAGCCACCTCTGAGGGGTGGCTGAGTGCGCTGAGTGGCTGAGGGGCTGAGTGCGGGGCCAGGCTAATGGAGGGACCCTCCTGAGATCAGGTCTGACAGCCACAAAATTTGAGTCATTCGTACTTAAGGCCCCGTGGGAAGTTGAGAAAATCTGCATTTGCTATAAACCTGTCCCTATTCAAACTCAGGCAGGAAATTTAAGGTCCCCTGGGCTGGACAGAGGGTAGAGGTGGAAAAACAACTGGGTATCAGAACGGGTTCATGTCCTCATTTGAGGACGCACCCATTTGGGCTAACAGAAGAGATGTGGCTGTCTGGGGCCCACTTTGCTGATCTGGGGGGACCACCAGGCTTTCCTCTAAGGGGCTACAAGCCTAGCCTTTGCTGAGTGGGGTGCACAGTTACTGTGGATTTTCATTTGGACTCTTGAGCAACTGTGCTCACTGGAAGAGAATGTGTGCACCTCATGAGCAGTGCCCAAACCCGGGGCCCAAGTCTCTGTGGCACCCCTTAGAGGTACCTGACATTGACCTATGCATCTCTTTGCTATTCCGCAGTGTGGTTTCAGAAGGTGGGGCATGAGTTCTGGCGCTGCCACGAGTAGGGTGCACACCTGGGCTCCCCCACTCACTGGCAGCAGCATCCTGGCCAAGCTGCACGACCTCTCTGGGTGGGCCCCTGTGTTTTCAACTGTACAACGTGAGGTGGGATTCCATGCAGAGGTGTCTGTGAAGCACTTCTGAGCCCAGTGCCTGCAGTGGCGGGGCTCAGATCTGGGAGGAGCAGCTACTGGGACCCCACGCGGCAGTCAGTGTGCATTGAGAAGGCTGTGTGGTGGGTGCCACGCCACGCTGACTGCTCAGACAGTGGGAGGGTCACCCCCAGCTTCGCGGGTCTCCTTGTCCAATTCCGGGATTCAAAACCGTGGAGCAGAGACACAGAAAACTGGGCCTGCCTTGTTCCCTGGTGGATGGCACCTCTTGTGTGCTTTCCCAAACACTTGGCTGAGCAAAGCATGGCTTCAAGAGCAGAGAAGCCATCAGAGTTTGCTAATTCTGGCTGTGGAGGACCTGGCAGCTGCTCTCTGCACTGGGGACTTTCTAGACTTGGAGGCTCTGGAAACACAGGGCTAAGACTGCTTCTGATTCAGCACTATGCCCTCAAAAACCACTTTGGGGACAAGTGGCCCCCTGGCTGGGCTGTGGGTTGAGGACCTGGCCCACCCCCTGCCTGCTGGCCCTCTAAGGAAGCCGCCTCTGGTAGACTGTGGCCAGGCCCTGAGGGTGGAGAGTCTGCTGAGAAGGCAACACAGGGACAGCCTCTCCAAGTCAGAGGCCCGAACATTGGCCACCGCTCCAGGCCAATATCAAACCAGGAAACTGGCTAAAACCCACCTGTTCCAATGAAACCTTCCTCCCTTCTTCTACCCTTGGCTTCCCACCCAGCGTGGCTCAGTAAGATACCAGGCAGATGATGAAACCATCTGGGTAGACCCGACCCCACAGGGAACACAGAAACCCTACATACTGTCACGTGGATGCACCCGGGAGGCTGAGGCTGGCCTGAAAGGTTGGCAACCAGAGACGAGCGAGTGGGAGACCTCCTGAGACCTGCGGCTCCAGCTCATGGGCCTGGGGACAGAGCCGGTTCCTGTGGCCGGGTACCTGTGATGGGCAACTGCTCGTGCACTCTGACGCTCTCTCTTCCCAGGGATGAGCAGTGGGGCCCTTGGTTAAGAGTGAAGCATAAGCTGCTGAAGAGGTGAGTTATTTCAGTGCCTGTAGAGATTCTGACAGGCAGGCGGGGCCTCGGGCTTCTACTGTCAGGTGGCAAAAAAACCGGGGACTTGCACGCTGGCACCAAACGGGAGCAGACACCCAGGAGGGCCCAACGGTCAGTTATCAACTAGAACCGCCTGGCTCCTCGACAGCCAGGCTAACAGCCCCTGCATTTTTGGGACAACATTGTTGGCACCGTGCAGGGAACGATGGGGGTAGGGATGGAGGGCAGAGGGAGGTCAGGAAAAAGAACTAGTGCACCCTGAGCCTCTGGGGGGAGGTGCGGCGCTGAAGCCCTTGGGGCCAGGCTCAGGGAAACATCTGCATACATGGCCGGATTCTGATAATGTGGCTCTTTGCTGGATTCGGTTTTAAGCAAAGAAGCCTACAGGCTCATTTGTTCAGTTAACTGTTGGCTCTGCTGCCTTACAAATGAAAGAAAGACACACCTAGCTACATAAGAAAGAGACCAAAACGTGACTTTAAGTGTGCATGAGTTTGGGTGCACACAACACAGACAGAAATGTGCACATGCAGGCAGCACACGGGTGTACACACAAGCACACACACAACCCTGCACTTTGGCCCCCAGAGCCAGCATGGGACCAGGCTTCAGAGGGAGGCTGAGAGATGTAGTTGGCTTCTGGAGGCAGCTCTGTCTGAATTTCCCAGCTATGAGCCTGGGAATGGCAGCAGCAGCTGCTTGGATATGCAGCCAACCTTAAATAGGGCTCAGAAACAGCTCAGAAGGGGCGGTCATCTCCCCCCCACCCCCCCGGGGCTGAGAGAGGAGCAGGTGCTGAGTGGAAAAGGGTCTTGGTGAGGTGGCTTGAGGGTGACCTTGCTCCCTGGGCCTCGTGAATGTTAATAGGAGACAGAGGTAACGGATGCTTGTGTGTGGGGGGGTGCAGGCAAGCTGAGGTGCCCCGTGAGCCACAGGCACGAAGACCACGCTGGTTAACCCTTTGCCAGAGACTGCAGAAGCTAAAAACTCCGGAGAGAGGTGTGAGCACCCAAGGAGATCTCCGCCTCTAGAGCTGAGGGAACAGAGCCAGGGGCCCTCAATTTCCGTGGCGCCAAGGTAGCTCAGGCCCTGGCACACGGCTTTTGTCATGATCCACAGCTAAACAAGAGTTTGGTCAGCTGCCCCTGAAATATGATGGGTGAGAGCTCTGGACGGGACCTCACAGGAACAGCAAACACTGAAGGTCCCCAAATGGGGGTGCAGAGCAGAGTCGCCAGGGCCCGGCAGACCCAGGGGGTCACGATTCTGGGGTGTGAGAAGCATCGCACACTCTCAAGGCCCTCGCCGCCGCCCCAGCGCAAGCTCTGCTCCTCTGGCTGCGCTTTGGAGCCATGTCTTTCCGTGAGCCTGGCGCCTTCACTCCTGGGTTTGCGTGCGGCCCAGTGAGGTGCTCACGTGGGAGGGGCTCACGGAAGCTGAGAACGGGGGTGCGGGGGACACCCACTCACAAGTCCCATTCCAGGCTCCCTGTTCACGGGGTCTGTCTGGGACACTTGCGTGACGATCGTAAGCTATAGGAGGGCAAGATACGACACTAGCACACCCCGACAGGCTCTCAGAAGGCAGCAAGCTGAACCCATGGTCAGAGTGACTGGGCTGCACCAAACGGTTGAAGAGGAAACTGGTATGTCACGGAGGGAAAAGCATTCAGCGGGGACATGATTCTTTGGCCAGGGTTCAAGTGACTGAGTTCAGGAGACCCCTCCTTGTGACACCTCAGACTCTGGCGGTGATGAGGGGGCAGATTCAGGCTCCGCCTACTGTTCTCCCCTCCGCCTCTGTGGTCGGGGCAGGCCTTTCGGTGGGCCAGCCAGCGCTGGGAGTACTTCCTCCCCTGCAGGGAGCTAAATCGGCCAGCCGTGGGCAGTGTCACCTTAGAGAGAGCATGGAACCCCCGAGTGGCAGTGGCCTCAAACAAGGTGGTGAGGAGAGGCTGGATTTCGATAGTCTTGGTGTTGAGGAATCACAGGTTCCCCCAAACCCCCTCACTGTGTCACTCGGCCAATACCTGACGGGCTCTGGGCAACAGAGGGGGTGGACGATGAGCTGGCTCCTCCTGAGTCGCAGTGGCTGGTGCTCCCGCTGCCACTGGGGCTCCCGCTGGCGGATGGTGATGGCGAGGACAGGGACGGCGAGCTGTGCTGGTTTATGCACTGGGCCACGGCAAAGCCTGTAAGACAGGTGGTGGGTAATGTGACCAAGTGGGAGGAAAGCAGCCAGCCTGGCAGGAGGGGGACCATCTGCCCCAACTGGGTGTGGGACCCTACAGGGCAAGCCCTCACCTCCACGGTGGGGCTGAGGCCTTAGTGTAAAGGCCACGCGAACCAACCCAAACCTAGCTCTTTGAAGGTCTGGGTCAGTTCTCCAGGAGCTGACCTCTCCGGTTATGGGACTGACCTGGACACACTCTGAAGCTGTTTCAAGGAAAAGGGGCAGTGAGTCATAGTACGTAGGACAGGCCTGTGAGCCGTGAGTCTGCGTGCCTGGTGCTGGCTCAGCAACACACCAGCTGTGCTTTTGGAGGGAACACACAGCTGAGGAGCTTCAGAAGCATCCTGGAGAAGTTCACGCAGGGACATGGGACCTTTGCTAAAGTGTCTGAGTCCTGCCAAGGGCAGGGCACCAGATCCAAGCTCTGAAGCCACACCGGATGGGAGGGGAGAGCCCCCAAGATGCCCCCTGCTAGAGAATTTGCTCTGCCCTGGCATGTCCAGCAAATTTGGCACAGGAGGAATGACGGCTTTGGTGAAAAGCTACCAGTGACAGTCATGTGCCCCAAAAGGATGTTCTGGTTAACGATGGTGGTCCCATGAGATTATAAGGAGCTAAAAAATTCCTGTCACCTAGCAGTGTCACAGCTGTCACAGTGCGATGCGTTCATTACTCACGAGTTTGTGGCGATGCTGGTACACACAGACCTGTTGTGCTACCAGCTGTAGAAATTATGTACAGTACATAATACTTAACATTGCTGATAAACGACAATGGTACTGGCTTATGTGTTTACTTTTTATTGTTATCTTAGAATGTACTCTTTCTGCTTATAAAACACATTTGCAGTAGCTGTGTTGGGCTTTGTCTCTTAACTGCCTCATCTTTCCTTGTGCTCCATTTAATCTTGTGTTGTTTTGTACGGTAACACACTCTACAGGTATGTAGCCCAGGAGCTGGTGGCTACACCATGACGCCCAGGTGCGTGCCGGGTAGTATGCACAGCCTTGGTTTGTGTGAGGGCACTCTGTGGTGTTCATCCAATGACGAAATCGCCTATGGTGCATTTCTCAGAACAGATGCCCACCATGTGACTGTGACGGCACAGAACCTCATGTGGCCCTCGAGCTACTTGATTTGGAGAGGGGGGCGACATGTTTCTGTGCTGGGGCCTGGGGCCTTCCCAACACGGGGGATGGATGAGCCCCATGTTTTGGAGACACTCAGTGTTGGGCAAATCCTGCTTCACCATATGCAGAGGCCCCAGAACACATGTCCTGTGCCATTTCCCGACTGCTAGCTGGGCATGTCGTCACCCACTGCTTATCACCCCACCGTGCTGGGGACACAATGACAGAATGTCCATCAAATTCCTGCACGGGGCTTGGTGTGTGGTAAGAGCAAGGCGTTCTTTATGACAAAAGGGGCCCTGCTGCAGGGGCCCCCCCCAGAAGCCGCTCTCAGTGGACGGTGCTTTTACAGGCTGTGACGTCTGTCTTTTTAAGAAAAGTCTGCTTTTCTAAAGGACCACAGCTTCTGATTTTACTCACTAAATACATGAAAGCCCCCATGAAACAAATGCCCATTAATGACCCCAGAGGCCTGTGCAGACCTCGGTGGTTCCTGCTTCGGCCCCTGGGAGCTGGACCGGACTACGGCAGGTGCTCTGGGGCCCCACTGCTTTTGCTCTGTAATTCAGAAGCAGCAGCAAGTTGGGGAGGGAGAGGGGGGCAAATCCTCCTTCCAGCTGAGGGTGGGGATCCTGATCCTCTTGGGGTCAGCAAGCCTCTCCTCTTCCTGAGTGCACTCCCCTAGTCAGCCCCAAACTTAATTCGCACCATCTGCACTGCCTGAAGCTCACAGGGCCCAGCTCCTGCTGACAGTTCTTCTGGAAGTTCTCCAGGGCCTGACCTTGTGTTTTTCAGAACTCGGGAAGGGGGCAGGGTGCTGAGCAGGGGTGGCTGGTGAGTGAGGTTATACTGGCACAGCCAGAGTCCTCTGCTTACACATCATCTGTGGCTGCCTTGGAGCTATAGCAGCAGCACCAAGTAGTTGCCGTAGGAACCACACGGCCTGCAAAGCCTGAAATATTTTACTCTCTGGCCCTCAGCGGAGCCTGGTAGAGGATGGAGCAGGGACTCCGGGAACCCAACAGGGAAGTCTGGGTTCCATTCTTGATCAGTTCACTTTCCAGCTATGGGCTGGGCAAGGCTGCACTTCCCTGAGCCTCCGTCCCTCAGCCCATCAATCGGTGGGCACAGGGCCTGGCTGGGGGTGGGGTCTACAAGGGGACCCGCTGCTCTATCCCTCCTTCAGGACTTAGTAGGACCCTACACCTGGCCACCACAGAGGGGCTATTTTGTACTATTTGTGTGAAGTTATTTTTGTCTAAGGATCAGCTTCTTCAAAGTCATGCCTCTACTTATATCCCCAGCCAGGCCCTTCTGGTTTGGGACGATGGGATGGCAGGCAGATGTGCGGCCCGGAGGGAGCGCGGTGGGTCAGTTCACCCTCCCCTCTTTTGTAGAGGATGAGACTCCCCGCCTCCACCTATGCGCGGAGGTCAGAAGAGCAGGATCAGAGCGCTGGAGTTCTTAGGAACAGGCGCTGAGTGATACACCGTGTGTGTGGGGGGAGGGTGTGCCTCAGAGGAATGATGACAAACGCAAAGACAGATCCAAACACGAGTCGGGAAGATCCCCAGAGGGAGTCAGCCGCAGCCCCACAGAACCAGCGTTACAGCTGCTTACTTCTTAATCACTCAAGTGGTAAACCCCCGACTTCACTGGCTGTTTACCTGCCTTGAACATGAATCGTCCCTCAACAAATCAGAATGTCACGATGGCTTTTCCTGGGCCGCGTATTTATCAGAGCCGTGAGAAGGGGGCCTGCAAGCTTGGAAACAGACTTAGGACGAAGCCTCTCACCCTCCTGACTTCGCCTCAGCCCGAGGGGATGAACGATGGTGCTGTCACCAAGGAAGTCACTCACCCCTTCTCTCAAGACATGTGTCTTCTCAAGTGTTTTAAAGCCGTGGTTTGTTGCCACAAGACACCGCAGCTGGAGCCTGGAGGGTGGCAGATGAGATGCTGATGCTGCGGTCAGACTAGTAGAACCCCTTTGTTTTGGTAAATCACAAATATCCTAAATAACCGTTTTACAAATCTTTTTCTTAAATGATCTTTAAAAATGTTGCGTCCCCGCCAGGACCCCTGCAACAGCTGCTTGTTGGGCCCCTGCAGCAGCCAGCATGCGTTGGGGGGTCAGACCACTGACTGGCAATAAATACTGCATATCTGTTGTATGTGCTGAGAGTTAAATAGACAAAAAAAAAAAAATCACCTGTTTGTAGGGTCTAGGTGGGCAGAGGTCACTGAACCCATCTCTCCCTCACCTGCTGCTACTAAAAATCCACCTTGCCTTCCTTCCTCCGCCCGCCCCTCGTGGCACTGGGAACCCACGGAGGCTCAACAATGCGTTTTTATCTGGGTGCCCAGATCCCCCCTGTAATTTCAGGGGGCTCCTTCCCAATTGAGGTGGCAGTCACCTAGAGTCAGTTTGACATGTCAGAGTCAGAAGGCCACTGAAGAGAGCTCAGGACAAGGGCCTGTGACTGCAGCGTCCGTCCTCCTGTACTTGGTGTATCTGGGTGAAGACCTGGCTTTGGCGGAGGAGCCAAAGGGCTTTCTGGGCACGAGTTAAAGACACATGGACTGCCTAGTACTGGCACACGCGCAGGCAAGCCAGAGGGCATGGGACAAGGGCACAGGCAAAGAGGCCTCCCCAACAGCTTCTCCAGCAAATATAACGCTTGGCTCTCCCAGAGTATGTCTCAAGAGCTGCCTGCAAAAGGTGTATCAAAGGCTGAAAGATTTCCACACTACCTGACTGATTCCACACCTAGAAAGGTGTGCTGTGGAAGGGATCCACAAAGCACTACTTGGGTGTGTGCAACAGGGAAGTGGAGACAATCAGAACAGCCAAGCACAGGGAAAGGCCAAAGGAATGCTAACATGTCCAGATGATGAAACCCTCTGCTGCTGATAAAAATGCTGCTATGCAAGAAGATAGAGTGTAAAGAGAAACGCTCAGAACATAGTACATAAAAAAAGGTTCATAAAGGCATATGTCCCATACGTTACCACTGCTCTAAAATAATAAATAAAGTGCAGCCTCTGTCTCCTTCCTTGTACAGAGAAGAGCAGACGGACTGAAGGGATCAGCGCTGAAGTCGTAGGAGAATACAGTGGTTTTATTAAGGTGAATTTTATTTTTCTGCTTGCCTGAATTTTTCAAGATTTCAATAACAAACGTTAATTTAAACCAGGAAAACAAGGGAGGGTGAAGGAAGGGGCACAAGCTGCCTGGGAGCGGGACGGGCTCAGGCTCCCGGTCCCTCACGTGCCCCCGGAATCGTTCCGGCTCCCACACTCTCCCCCTGACTCACTAAGAGCCTCCCCGAGCGCTGGAGCCAGGCGTGATGCTCCAGAACCAGGCGGCCCGTGCCACGGGCAATATCCAGGAGTCCGCGTTTCCTGGGGGTAGGCCAGGCCGTCCCGCTGCTCTTTGGCCCTCTTCTGCCAGTTATTCTGGGAAGATGAACTCAGGCGTAAGTCTCTGGCATTTGTCAAGTACAAAAAATACAACAAAAAGGTCAGCCTTCTATTTGAGGCCCACTGATAGAAGGGGAGCACTGGGCTGGGAGTCAGAACCCCAAGTTCAAATCCTAACTCTGCCCAAATGGCTTTGTGATCTTGGACAAACACCCCTTCCCACGTTAGTGAGAATCTCTTGGCTTAAGCAGTCAATAGGTTTCTTTTTACCTTTAAACTGAATCTGATTTGAACTGTGAGGAGACATTGAGAAATGCACTTTGAATACACTGTTTACATACCCCTTCCCTTTGGATAGCACATCTACTAAAGTTTTTCCCGCGGACAGCCAGGCTGCTGTGTGAGT